TTAAGTAATAATTATTCTGTATAACTTATTTATTTTAGTTCCAACCTTGCATTTCTATAGGAAAATCTATACAATTGTGATGTTGTTGTATTGTCACTGTCTTTCCAATAGGTTGGGTCAGGGTTCTCAATTTCGATGTGTATTATTTACTATGGCCAGTATGTATCAGTCTGAAAGGATACTGGAATGTGGATCGTCCTCTACCGGGCAATACCAATGATTTGATTAGTACCGAGGTGTACCGACTAGTACCATATCGAATTTCGACCGTTATCGAGATATATCGATCGATACACTCTAACGTGGTAGGTGAAGATATTTTTAAGGTTTTAGGGTATACCATTGTTATGCTCTAGCATACTGACAATATATACCAATATGTACCGTACTGAGTAGAGCTCGGTACGTCAATATGGAACAGTATTCAAAATCCTAGATGAGCCGATTATAATTTATGATATTAGAACAATGGTTCAAGGTCTTATAAAAAGTATGTGTTTCAAAAATATTTTGAGAATTTTTGATGATTTAACTATGTGATAATATTGAGTATAACCATAAATATATGTGTTCAAGGATTATTTTTGAAGATGTTTGATGTTTATTTATAAGTCTTAAAATATAAAATGAGATGTGATATTATAATATGATTGATGTGATGAAGATATATTAATCTTGATTATTTTTAGATTTAGATATGTGAAGTTTAGGAGATTGAACTTTTTATTTGGGGGAATAATATGATATTTTTAATTTTGATTATTTGAGAACCTAAATGTAAATATAAAAATAATAGGGACTAAATTACAAAAAAGAACACGCTTCTCGTGAGGTTGAGGAGAAAGAAAAGGAGAGGAAGAAACAAGGAGAAATAAAAAATGGGAAGAGGGAGAGAGGAATGATCTGTCGTGACAAGAGAAAAAAGAAAATAGAATAAAAACTAAGAGGACAATTTTGTTGAGAATTTGGTTTAATATCAAATGAATTGAGATCTAGCCAAGATAATTATGTTAGGCAAAAATGATTATGTTGAGAAATAAGAAAGGGAAAGAAAATATCATGATTCTATGTTTGTATCGAGGATATGTGATCAAAGTATTCGATGACTCTGTTTAGCCTATTTTTAAAAATATTAATTCATGTGATTTAAATTTTTTTATTATTTCTATAAATTTAACACATCATATTTGAAAATAATTAAAAAATCTGATTATTATTAGTTTCAAATGAGATATGAGTTGGTTAGATTTAAAATAATATGCAAAAGGATTTTATAAAATTTTTAATTTTGTAAAAAATAATTGATATGTTATTTTTGTTACGTGACAGTTGTATGGTCAAAATTGTTATGATCTAGACCTTATCAATTACATTAATTATATATTCATAAACTAGTTTTTTTTAACATGACAGTTGTATGGTTAAAATTGCTATGATTTAGACCTTACCAATGAGATTATACATTAGTTATATGTTCATAAACTAGTTTTTTTTTACC